ACAGGCTTGCAGAGAGCCAGTGTGTCAGGCCCCCTGTTACTTGATACATGCTATTGTGAGACTGTTAGACAATAGACATGAAGTAGCTTAGGTGGTCACCCCATTTCCATGCTCCCTGGCTGCGTTGGGCTCTCTGGGTTCCTCATGTCCGAATATTTCTCTGAGGCTGAGCAATCTCTCAGACTCAGGGGGGACCCTGTGGCGAAGGTAGTGGGCGTTTCTGACCCTCATGAACAACTCTAAGTAAGTTGGCTCAGTGGACTCATTCCCTGCACATTCCATGGGACTCTGGGGGATTTGTTTCCTAGCATGGAGATCAGGCTTTAGGTTGGGCTCCTCTGACCCGGTCCCATGGACACACGCTGACGTGCTGTCAGCTTCAGGGTCAGAGGTGGGACCCGGGTCTAAGGTGTCAGTGGGAACTTCTTGATCTCGATTGAGCATAGATACATCGTTGTTGGACTCTCTGCCGTTGGGAGGAACTATAGACTCTTCCTCTTGGGCTTGTGCCTTTTCTTCCATGAGGTGGGAAGGTCTGAGGTACTGAGGTAATGATTGCTCTTTGCCTTTCGTGTGAATCTTGAGGCCACTGTGATGGGCAGGAAGCCTCACAGGCTTAACTTTGTTTGGTTTTGGGGCCTCAGTGATCACCGATGCTCTGTAAAAAAAGAGTTAAAATAAAATATCTGAAAACCAGTGAAGAGGCTTCTATTTTGGTCTTTCCAGTAGTTAGACCATAGCTACTTCAGGATAGTATCAGCTGAGGAGAGTAGTGAGTCGTGGGTGGAGGGTGAGAAAGGCAGTAAAATGTGGTGAGATGTCTCTGCTTAAAAAGGAAAAGCAGGGCCTGCCCTGGTGGTACAGCGGGTTAAGGCACAGCACTAAGAAGCTAAAGCCACTTTAGCATGAGTTTGATCCCAACCCTGGAGCTGACTCACATAGCACAGCTGACCTCTCCTGACCAACCGCCCAGCTTCCCACTCCCCTCACCCCCCTCCTTTCCTCAGCAATGTCTGTTGTGCCCCCCACTCTGTCTCTGGTGAATCCTGTCACTCTCCCTGCACCTCTGGCCTGTACCTCAGTATGCATAAACAAATAAATCTTTTAAAAAAAGAAAGAAAGAAAGAGCAGCATGAATGCAGCATTTTCTCAGGGAGAGGGTGATGTAAAGTGAACAAAGGGATCCATTGTATGGTCCAGGATGGTGAACCTGATGGAGTAGATATACAGCTGTTGAATAATAAGACTGCAGACCCAAGACCTACATAATGTTTCAAACCAGCATTAGTTTTATTTTAAAAAAGAAATAAAGATTAGTGGGCAAGAGGAATTCAGCATCTTGATACCCATGCATTTAGTAAGCATTTTCTTACCTAGTACTATTGGCCTGTGGAACTCTGTTCTTCTGCCTTCCCTGTAGTGAGGTCACAGGAACATCTTCTCTTTTCTGAATTCCATTTCCAAAGTAGGAGGAGAACTTCTTCTTGATGACAGCTGCTTTGAGTTAATTAACAAGTGTTACAGGGTAAAGTGTGGTCTTCCTGGATGCCCTATGTTGGATTTCTAACCAACCAACCAGTTGCTCAGAATGTAGTCTTATTTGGAGATAGGGCCTTTATGGAGAGAGCCAGGAAAAGATGAGGCTGTTAGCACAAGCACAAATCCCACATGACTGGTGACTTTATAACGGACAGAAATGCAGATACGAAAGTAGAGAACAGAGTGAAGAGAGACCAGGAGAGGATGACCACCAACAAGACAGAGGCCCAGGGCATATCCGTCCCCCACAACTCCCAGAAGGAACCAATACCTGCCTGCCTGCCAATACCTTGAGTTTAGACTTCTAGTCTCCTCAAGGGTAGCACAATAAATTTCTGTTGTTTAAGCCCCCAGGCTGCTACAGCAGCCCCCCAAACTCTGACACCTTAGTGGAAGAAGGGTAAGAGTGCTGGAGAACAGGCTTGCAGAGAGCCAGTGTGTCAGGCCCCCCAGACTGCACGCCAAGTGAGGCCCATCTGGTGTGTTGGATGGAAACAGAAACACCTAAAGCAGCTTTGCAGGGTTTACCTAGAACATGTTAACAAGGACTTAGAGACACTGAGATGGGTGGTGATAACTGGGTGGGCCCACTGGAGCATTTATTTGAATGTTTTACTTGGCAAGCACAGTGTTTTGAAAACAAAACACTGGGTGAGAGTAATACCCAGAGACAGAGCCCTGTTGTTTGTTCCCCTGGATTATGTGGCCTTTATCTGCTTGAGGCATGTCTGTAACTGCAGGCCATAATTAAGCGGATTTTTACTATGAGTTGGTGTCTTAGCGTCCTGTAGCCACAGTTGCTACTGTGACCCTAGTTCTCAAGACCCCCATCCCCAGCTCCCTGCCAACCTGCATCTCTTCCCTTAGGATTCTACTTACGCACTACATCTTGTGGAAGAATTTACCTGAGGCCCTTTGATAGACACAGGAACTCCTGCTATACTCTGGAAATAATTCTACTTTACCAACTAGCATTTTCTATCGCAATTTTTCACAAGTCCTTTTATTATGAGTATTGGGAGGGCAGAGACCTGGTTTATTTTCACATTTTTTGGCATTGCAGTATCTAGCTGAGTAACTGTGATGGTTTCACACTGTCTGGCCCACAAAATGCCTGTCCTAGAGTAATCTTCCTTATCATCATCTCAGTTAAAAATGTGGATTTGGGGCACAGCGGGTTAAAGCACAGCACTGAAAATCTAAAGCCGCATGAGTTCGATTCCTGCCTGCCCCAGAGGTGACCACATGGCGTGGCAGACCTCTCCTGACCCGCCCGCTGCTCCCCTCAGCAGTGTACTTTGTCGACCT